GAAAGAGGACATGAGAAAATGGCCTCAAGTTGCACCAGGGGAGGTTTAGATCAGAGATTAGGAAAAATTTCTTCACCAAAAGAGTCGTCAAGCAATGGGACAGGCTGCCCAGCAAAGTGGTAGAGTCACCATCCCCAGAAGTATTTGAAAGACATGTAAATGTAGTGCTTAGGGACATGGTTTAGAGGTGGACTTGGCTGTGCTAGGTTTACAGTTGGACTCAATGATCTTAAAGATCTTTTCCACCCAAAACAATTCTGTGATTCTATGAGAGAGAAGCAATAAGAAGAGAAAGGCAAATAAGTAGGTTGCACGGGAGGGGAGTGACTAAATTAAGACACAACGAATGGGGAACAGAAGGCACAGAACTAGAAATATAAAGTGGAAGGAAAAACAGACACAAGTTAAGAAGGAATGAGATAAGGGTCTAATGCATTGAATAGGACAGATAAGAGAAAAGACAGGAAAGGCAGAGTGAAAGGTAAATGGAATCTACAGGAAAAAGACACATCAAGAAGATAGCTTTTTTTTTAACAAGGTAAAAAGCATGAATTTCACATTTGTTTTTAAAAAAAAGCTGACAAACTTTGAAATCAGTTGTGCTTTTTCATGTAATGGAAGGTTCTTGCAGGAACAAGCTGGGAGAGCAGAGACTCCCTAGAGCCCATCGACGGACAGATGGGGATACCGTTGTAAAACATGAGTGCCAAGCTGTTCTGCTGTGTGTCATTAAGTTTCTTACATTCCATGCAAAATAGGTATTGAGATTGCGTCCTCTTAGGCTGTCTTAGAACAGCTTCTTATAGGTCTAAAGTAAATAGAACATTTTGGAGAAGGGAAAAGATATGGGTTATCTTATTTCACTTTGGCCCAGATCTTCATAACTGATTGCATTGATCACTTGGCAAGTACCCCAAGATTGCACTTGCCTCTCTTGCATCCTCCCAAAACAGTTCCTGCTAGTTTTGTCTAGAGAGCTGCTAAAGACACTACAAACAAGATTCCTTCCTAACATAAAAAGGTCACGGTGCTAGGTGGCAGCAACAAGAATGTTGATTAAAACCAAGTATTTTTATACAAGAGCTATAAATTGGATTGTATGTAGGTTTTTAAATTAGCTGACTAGATGGGGGGATTGTTTGAAATAAAAGCCCTTTTGATTAAATGGGAACTTACATGTGAGGATACAATTTTTCACTAAAATACTGGGGGCTTTCATTGAAAACAACCACCAACCTTTCCTCCTTAAAACACAGATATTTTAGTTTTAAGCAACTAAAAATCAAAACTCTTACCTACTGACAACAAATACACATTTTTTCCTATTTTTTTTAATTATAAACCAACCCACAGAGACACAGACAACTCTTCAACACGCACCTGGTAGGATGGGCAAGGGCAGGTGTAATGCTGTAGCCATACACATTTTTCTAAAATATTTTGGGTATTCCAACAATCCAGGCCTGCCACATGCATACTATTCTAGTACAGAATACTATATACATACTGGACATCTACTGAGGTTAGCATTATGTTTTTCAAAGGAAAATCTCTAAGAAAATAAAAATATTCAAAGAACTGCAGCTGACACTATCACACTTCCAGTAAATCACCTTGTCCCACCAAGCCCAGCCCTTCCCTGGCCCTATTAGCAAAACCAGTTCTCCTCTGGGAATTTGCCTTACTGCAGATCTCAAGATAAGCTGCTATAAATAACGAAACTACTAACAACTTCTTTATTCCAGAAGAATCGTAAACCACGCATCATACCTCCAATAAGTCCATTTTCCTTCGTAGTCTCCATTTTGACAGTGGATTGATTAGATGCCTTCATCTTTGAGGTATTAATGGATTCCAGGAGGGACACAAACTCTAGAAAGTTAGATTCATTGGGCATCTGTCCTTCTTTAGCTTCTAGATCTGATTTAGAAGTTGGCAAGGTCTTTTCTTTGTCAGATACCTCCATGAAATTCTTACTTAAAAGCACATCTGTCCCGCTGTCTACACTTAGCACCCGCATGTGCCTCTTTTCATGAGCAGTTCTACAGGACTGTGGGTCTAGGTTCTGCAGGTCTTCCTTAGCAGTTAAATCCACAGTCTGGACATTTTCAGAAGCATTCTCCTGATTTGGATCCAAAAAAGTGTTAGTTTCCAAAGGAGTATTTGCTGGGTTGCTGTGTTCCTTTACTGCATCACCTGACTCATAGCCAGAGCACTGGTTGGATGACAGCTCTGCCTTTAAAATTTCTGGAGTTCTTTCGCTTTCACTAACTTCTGGGCAAGCCTTACCTTGACAGTCATCAGACAAGTCAAAAGTGATAAGGGGGATTCTGAGCTGTTCGTTAGTTTGCTGACTCAGCCAGCCTGCTGTAACTACACCAGACTCAAGGGCTGAGCTCGTTCTCTCAGTTTCCAGAGCCTTCAGGTGGACACAGCCTGCTAGGTCACTGAGGGTGGTGTTTGGTGTAGTACTCATTGTTATGACAATTTTAATGGGTTCACATAGCTGGTCTCCAGGAAGAGAGTTGTCCACAACTGCAACAGCAGTCTCACTGTCTGAGCAGTCAAGGTCCTCATGGGTATTACCAGCACTGCAAGAACTTTCCAGGTGCTCCAGATCTTTGGTTGCAAAGGCATTGCACTGTGGGCAGTTACTGGTAAAGCCTGTCTGTGATGATCCATCTGGCAATTTCTCTTTTGTGTAGCTTTTGGGATTACTCAAATGGTCTGAAATAACAGAGTTTTCACTGTCCCATGGCTCTGAAGAAACTCCAGTCCTTAAAATATCACCTTGTGATGAAGAAATATTGGAGAAGTTTTTAGCTACATCTCTGTCCGCAAGAATATCTTGGGATCCATGCTGTCCATATGGCAGTCCGTTCCCTCCTTTTTCATTTATTCCATTATCAGAAAATGTTTTCACAGCAGCTGGTTTTGTCACTATTGCTGATGTGGTGGCACCTGAAGCAGAGGCTGTAGAAGCAGGTAATAGGTCTGTTTTGATACAGGGTGAGGTAGATGAAACTGGTGGTGCAGCCTGGTCTTCTAATACTACAACGCCTAATAAAAAAACATAGGGGCATTAGGTCTCACAAACACGAATGCTGTGCATTATTGAAGTATGATCATTAGCTAGCAAAATCTGACCCAGAGCAGGGCAGAGGAAGCACAGACGATGTGCCTGATTAAAACAGTTCCTAAGCAAGGACCTTTTTGGTTAGCTACATGTGAAATAGTATGTAAGCAAACTGGAATCCTTCCAGGTCAGGACAAATGGAGCAACATGTCTATTTAATTTAAATAATCCAAATAGCTTAACAGCTAATATCAAAACCAGTATGTTTTATAGAATTATCACCACTTAGGGAGAGATGAAAGAAAGAATAAGTCATTGCAGCAGAAGTTTGTTACATCACTTCGTGCAATTCCTAAATGGTCCCATAGGATACAGTGATCAACCTTCACAAAAAGAGATAAATTAAAATATACTGAGACATGTCAAGCACTGGAGCTGTAGACAAAGCAAGGTGTGCTGGAGTATACACTAATGAGCTAAAGGTCAACAATCACAACAGGAGTTTACAGTAGGAAGACATTTAAGAGCTTTAAGATGTGATTTGAGTGTTGGCTTTGGGTTTAATGCTTTCCAGGAGCACAGAGCTTCCCAAGAAAGCAGGGGAAAGGCTTTCTCCTCTCCCCGTGTCAAAACAGGGATGCTTGCTCACCAAAAGGCTGCATCCTAAGTAGCTTGGCTGACAGCTGAGAAAGTTTAGTCTGTTAGAATTCCCTTGAGATTTTTTTCTCTCATGTTTTTCCATTCAGCTCCTAACATGAGGCACAACAGAATCTGCCACAGGGTCCTCTGTGCCTTTTTTTTTGTTTGTTTGTGACAAGCTATGATTAAACAAAGATTTAAAGGTATTTACAGCGCCTTTAAGATACCTCTGAGATCTTCAATAGTTTCCCGTGTCGGCAGCTCCTAAAAATAAAAAGAAACACACAAAATTAGCATGGTCACTTATTAAATTCTGTTGGAAAAAAACCCCAAACTATCAATGCAATACCTATCTAATCGAAGGTTAATTACAGCATTGATAAGTTGCTTAACATCACTGAAATTTGGACAACTACCTTGCACAAAATGCAAGGGTAGGTGAGCGAGATGATTATAGAACAGTCATGCTCCAAATTGCATCACTGCAATTGTGTGTGATGTTTAAGGAGGAGGAAAAAAAAAAAAAAGTAAGATTTTTTTTAAAAAAACATTTTGCAGTGCCTAATCCAGATTAGTTTGTTTTGAGATTTTTAATCATTAAGGAATAGAATGCATTAATCTGTTCCACTTTTCCAGCTAGGCGTTTCCAAACCACCAAAATGAAACGTCCGGTCTCCAGTACATGGTAACAATTTCTCAATGGAAAACCAGAGGACAGAGCCATTAAATTATCACAGAATCATTTAGATTGCAAGGAAGCTTTGGAGGTCATTTAGTCCAAATCCCCTCTGCCATACACACACACTCAAAGCAGATACAGTTAGAGCAGGTTGCTCAGGGTCATCTCCAGCAGAGCTTTGAATATCTCCGAAGATGAAGATTTCACAGCCTCTCTGGACAACCTCTTCCAGTATTTGACCGCCCTCTTCATAGGGGTGAGAAAACAACCAACCAACCAAAAAAAAAAAAAGAACCCACCACACAAAAAACTTTAAAACTAATTGATCTTAGTCATTTTCCATGGCTGCAAGTTGCAACCACTGTCTCTAATCCTGTCACTGGGCTTCCAAGAAGAGTGTGCTCAATCTTCTCTATATCTTTGCATCAGGAAGCTGAAGACAGCAATAAACTCTTCTTCTAGTCTTACAAAAGGTTTTAGCCTTACAAAGGCTAAAACATCTCATCAGCCTGTCCTCATATACTGTGCATGGTGGCCTCTGCTGGATTCTCAGCAGCAGGTCAGAGGTATTTCAGATGAATACTTTGGGAGTCTAAATGCAATAGCTTAAGTGCACAACTAGAAAAAAAAGTTATTGGGAAAAATGAATGTAGCTCTTTTCTGGCTGACAAGCACCAAACCATTATCTCCTAAAATCTCATGGTGGTATCCTGGCAGCTGAAACAGGAGATTAGGTCTGACTCGACCCAGCTTACATGTTTGGAAATTGGATAATTGGACAAAATCCCAAGAAAAAATGTGGTTGCAGACTGGACAAATACCAGAATACTGGGGAGTAGGACGGAAACAAGGTGAAAAATATTTTACCTCATAAAATACAACTATTAATGTCTGTGAATCATACAGATACCACAAAAAGGTAAAAACACTCCAGGAAATTAGGAAATAGTTCAGACTCAGAGCAGGATTTGAACAGTTTGCAGTAAATAGGGAAACAGGGTGGGGGGTGAAGAGGGAGGTGGGAGAAATATGAAGACAGAATGAAGTATCAAATAGCTACTTATTCAGAGATCACTAACCATCCTCTGCACTGACTGAGGCAGGAGTCCTGTAGAAAAAATAGCACGGGATCACATAATTAAAGATTTTATCACAGTATATATGGGGAGTAGCTTAAGATTACACAAACAGCATTCATTCTGTTTCTTAATTTTTTAATATTTAACTCTTCAAACTTCTCATGCATGTTTCTTATTTTTTCTCTACTAATAACATCTACATACATCACCTTCATCACTTCATGCACCATTGATTTAGAAAGCATGGCCAATAGTATGGAATGCACATATATGTATTTTTAACCTCATGTAGACATCTCCTAGATTTAAATAATGGTTTTTATGCTCCATTTAAATACTCAAGAGATGTGTTGGGTTCATTTTATAAGCATAAGTCTAGCTACAGAAAATGAAATTCTTAATGCTCCAGGAGCAGATCCCTTCTGAGGCAATGACAGGCTGCTCTCATTGCATTCGCCTCTCCTTTCTCTAAGCAGCCACGAAAAATAGTTGCTCTTGGCAAGATTTACAAAGGCCATTTGGTATCTACAGAGCAGACAGACCCCTCCTAAGTAGTTCAGAATTATATATACCAGTTTCAGCTTTGCAGACCCAAACCTTTAGGACAAGGCTGACTGATTGCAGTGGTATACCTAGAAGATCCATGGAACGACCCTTCCTCCTCAGGGCAGACCTACGCTTCAAGTGATCAGTACCTGGCAATACAAACTCTGTGCGATAAGCCACGGACTGCAGAAAGTGAAGACACTAGTACAGAAAACTGCATACTAACCATTGTTTCAGGTGAGTTCTGCAAGTGCAGAGCCTGTACCCGTGAACTATCGTGAACTGTCTGGGTAGAGCCATTTTGGTTGGTCTCACTGACGACATCGTTATCCCTGGTGTTATTGCTGAAAAGGAAGCAAAGGGAAAATAAAGCAATGCTTCTTACTACAGAGGATGACAGTGACCTTTGGGAAGAAACTGAGGAATAATAACAGAATAGGAAGAAGTAGCACAGTACGGTTTTCCCCCTCCAATGCTAAAAGCACAGGGCTGAAATTACTGTAACCTCTTTTTGCACCTCCTTCCTCACCAAGACAACTTGCTAAAAGTAAATAAATAAAAATTTCTCAATATAAAATTATTCTGGTGTCCTAGAAAGTACAGCATTGCTATGAGAAATACAACATCTCTTCAAACCCCCTGTGTGTACATAATGTCATTTAGCCTGCCTGACATGTACACGGATTTATTGGCACAGAAGGTTGTTTAGGGCTTCTCACTAGACATATAACAGTCAAATGCTACTCCTTTCACAATTTTTGCTTTTTACATCCTTTGCCTGTACCCTTGTGTACATATTGCTTATCTGTTTATTTACAAACCTCCCATCAAACAACTTTTTGAAATGCAATACAGACTGTGTATTAATATAATCATTATACCACAAAATCAAGTTATTCCTTTGGTTTTAGCCAAGGCAAACATATATCCATTACTCATTTCATATACTATAAGGCAACTTGTTGATCATTTCCTCTGTGGATTCATTCAACTATCCACTAACTCTTTTTACACGTATTTTCTACTAGCTTTCCCATGGATGTCATAGAATCACAGAATGGCAGGGATTGGAAGGGACCTCTGGAGATCATCTAGTCCAACCCCCCTGCCAAAGCAGGTTCAGCTAGAGCAAGTTGCTCAGGAGTGCATCCAGGTGGGTTTGGAACATCTCCAGAGATGGAGACTCGACAGCCTCTCTGGGCAGCTTGTTCCAGTGCTCTGTCACCCTCACAGTAAGCAAGTATTTTTGGACAAGGTTTACTAATGAGAACTTACACATGTTCTCTTAGGTATAACACAACAAAAATTTAGTTGGAAAGAAAAAAAAAAAAATCAACACTATAGTGAAATTTCAAAATGTGGGTTTGGGCTTGTTTTTTAATGAGTTTGTTTTTTTCCTCAAAAATTATTTTTAAAACCCTACAGCTGTATATAAGCTATAAAATTATTTACCTGGGGGTCTCAATCACCTTTCCACAGTTTTGGGTTTTCTTTGTAGTTCGCTAGCTTTTTAAACTTGTTCAACCAACCTGCCAAATACCAGGGCCTGTTTAAAAACATCTGTCACCCATCTAGTCAAAATACTAAGTCCTTTATTTTTTGATCAAAGTACTAAATCTCCAGAGAAGAAGTCTCCTTCTCTGGAGACATTCAAAACCTGCCTGGACATGTTGCTGTGTGACCTACTGTAGGTGATCCTGCTCCAGCTGGGGGGAAATCGACTAGATCTTTCAAGGTCCCTTCCAACCCCTAACATTCTGTGATTCTGTAAATAATAGACTGTTGGGCCTAGGACTTCCTAGGAGGAACAGTTATGTGATTTAACACACAAGTTTTAAGTGATTCTACCTCTCAACCAAAACAAAGGCAGGATTATGAAAGGGTTGTTTTTTTTTATTTTATTAGCCAGTGAACATTAACACTGAGATTCTGTTTAAATTTAAGCCAGCCTAGAACAACTAATGAGCTTATTAAATAACTATCAGACATCTGTAAATAGGAAATAGCTTTGTGGGCTGGTGAGAACTAAAGAGGAATAGAGCCTGAAAGGCATCACTCAATCTAAAATAAAAACCTTGTATGGTTAGTGACACACGCAAGAGGCATTTCTCGGAAGAGTCTTGATGCAGGCAGACCTTGACACTCCCAGCAACGTCACTGCCACTCCTGTGCATGAGTAAAGACATCGAAGAACAGTAGCACAGAGGTACACAAACAATCTTAGTACTACTTAACTTGCACAGAGCTAGCAGTAGCAACTGCAAGTACACAAAAAAAACACCCCAAAGTAAGTTCTTTCATACAGAACTCTCTGTTGAAGCTTGACTGTCAGCTGCAACAAACCTACTCAGTTTAAGCTCTGGACATTTCTGTGCTGCCATCACTATTGGATGCACCTTATTTCAACATTTTTCACTTCTGTCATAACACTTGGGAACACTGGAAGCTGCATTTGTTTGTATGACTCAAGCCTGAAAACCAAGCAAGAGAGGTCTCCATTTATTCCAAAGAGTGTACAGTGGAACAGTCTACCTATACACAAGTCTGGAAAATGTCAGTACCGGTCTTCTGCCCAATACTATTTTTACCTTTAATACCACCTCAAGCCAGAAGCAGCCTTATTGACTCTGATTGTTTATTTGCAGCAAAGACATAGTACTTGGCTCCTCAGCAGAGAGGTTGCAAATACCTACCAAATACCTTTGAGAAAGAAAAGCAGTTCTAGCTTTCCTCATGAACAGGAACACAGAACATTATAGGCAGTCACAATAAAACACAAGGCAGAAAAATAGCTTATGCATCTAGGTTTGACCTGAGGAGGAAGTTACTATAAGCACACAACGGCAACATAAGCTCAGGCTTTCAAAGCCATAATACTAAAGCATTTTCTTTGCCAACAGGTGCGTGTCATTCCTTTCCTCTTCTCAGTAGGTAAGAGCAGGAGGAAGAGGAAAGAGCAAGCATTTAAGGCTTCCCCCAAAAACTTTTCCTAGGTTTTCTCTAGGATGTTTGAGCACCTCCCAGACAGGTCTCCTGCCTTCATCATGCCCAGTTGCTGCCCCACCCTCAGGTGCAGCTCTGCCTGCTTCACCACAAGCATGCTGGAGCCACCAAAAATAAAAGCACTAAGCAGGTCTTTTAAAAAGCACCATTACTCACACAACTGTAAGGAGTTTTCCTACACCCAACAGGCATTCCAGACCATGGTGCAAATACCTCTGTTTTACAGAACATACCAGCAGTGTGTAATGAAAACCTTACCTATGATTTGAGGGCTGAACTGTGTTTCCTTTTGGAACCTCTGTATCTTTACATTGCCTTCCATTTTTTCTTGAGAGCTTTTGTTGAATTACTTCGCCTTTATCAAACATAAGGTGCAGACGGTAACTGACCACCTTTATTACTGTGAAGAACACTGTCACCGAGCTGCAGTACACAAAAACCGTAACTGCATTTGCTGGAAAAGCCTACAGAAAGAAAAAATAAAGACATAATAACAGCTTAGTTTGAGAACATGCTACTAACATTTTTAAAGTAATTTTCAAAAACTTTTTTCCTTATTGTCAATCATTTGTACCCATACTGAGTTTTGCAACCAAAAGGAGTAGCGCATCATCATACAGTATACTTGAGTTCTGCTCACAAAAAAGGTCTAGTGATTTGTTCAAATTTCAAATGATTTTACAAGATTTATTCTTCTTTTGATTAATTGTGGATATGATTTATTTCTTAACAAAATCAGTGAAATTTCACAATGGACAAACACTTTAAAATCTCTTAAAATACTGCATTCCCAGGATAATGGAGCTGCAACCTTTCCTAAACCATGAACTTATAAAAATACAGTTACAAAATGAAACATTAGTTATCTACAAGCAGGAAACCCCTTTTGAAAACTTCTGTCATCGTACCCTGCTTCTCAGTTATGATTTAACAGTAAAACGCTGTAGTTTGATCTCCTTTTTCTAACACTTCACAACACATTCCCAAGTACCTTTACCACTGAAGAATTTTAAATAATTAATCAGGGCTAGTCACAACAAATGAATAAAATGCATTTGGAGAGGCAGCCTCTTTGAATTATTTTTCTGAAGTTCATAATTGTTAATTTGCAGCTGTCTGTGATCTGTTTGCTGATATGTGATGAGCACCGTATTTCTCAGTCGTTAAAATTAATTACAGTTCAACTATAGTCTGTAAAGTTCTTTCACAGACATGGCATACTAACAACATTTTTATATTTAAATACTTCCTTACAGTAAATGGCAAATCATAGCAATGGACACTTGCAGTCATAATTGAAGGGCCAAAGCCTTTATCATTATAGTCATGGAACACCCTTGGGTACTGTTGTCATGCAGTTGCAGTCTCACAATGAGTTTAATCTCTTCTCAGGTTGTTTTTTGGGGGTTGTTTTTTGTTTGTTTTTTAAAAAACAGAGCATTACCATACTCCTGCACAATTTGTAGTGGGGGGCAGAGGAGGTGGGGGGGTGTGGGGAGGAAGGAAGATTTTCAATGCTTAGAATTTGCTAAAAGCATACTGAAGTTAATTTTTAAGAATAGTCTTTACTCTGGGCCTAAATCCATCATTTTAAATATCAGCACTGCAGGTCAAGGAGCATTTGGGTATAACAGATTAGAATTCTTTTCAGATTCATAAATAAACCACACTGACCACACAAGTGAAGGGAAGGGAACAAGGCACGCTTACTTCATCTCTAAAACAAGTCACTGCATTTATCCTGATGTTGAAATGAATACGTTGAATCATTTCTGTGTTATTACAAGCAAGCGGGTTGCTATTCTGCTGCTGCTTTCGGCTTAGTGAGATTTCATACCTTTAAGATGTACATGTGAAAATTTTCAGGCAAATCCTTTTTTATGACTAGTCTGATTCATATGCAAAGAATCTATTGCACAAAAAGTGGAGAAGCTATTTAGCATGTAGGTACTACTAATGATACCTAATAAGAAAGACATTACTTTCTACAAGTTGAGGCTTAGTCTGTTAAGAGTACTTCATGGTACTACGCATATACCGAAACTAAGTTCTTTAGTGAATCCTTCAGTTGTTTAGTGAATCCAGGCCAGAAAGTGGATCAGTTTGCCAGGCCATTCTCTCAGGGTACAAGGCTTGGTGGATGAGGCTGAAGAATTTGTGTTTTGTGACTAATGTATTTGCAAAGTTAAAGCTAAAAATTGCTTGGTTTCACAAAGAATGGTAGCTGAGTATCTGTAACAATTTGTTTAAAAGGGAGATTTGTTCACTTTCCAAGGAATCTCTTCAACTATCCATGAAAAAGCACAGGCTGGCCACTCATTATTACGTAACAGCTCAGAATGAGCCACTGGAAAAGAAATGCTCTATAGGTGACATTCATAAAGCTTAATAAATATGACTAATGTCAAAAGGACACAGCAAAAATAGACTTCCAGTAATGCAGTCTATGGGTGCAGAGAGCACACTACAGGAGAGAATCAAAGGAAGCTGCTAGATTGCTAGGTGGAAAAAGAGGGCCAGTTTTAGCAAATGCTGAGTGCTGCATGTCCTCCTCCCTGCCTTGTGACCAGACCTACCGGAGATGTGCCCGCAGCCTGCCTGTGGTCTCCCTGCCCATCAGCCCAAGATATACACAGTGCTTCCCATGCGTACGTGCTGTGCATGCTCACAACCCCAAGCCTGTCTGTATAATAAGGCCAGTGCATCCTTAATATTCTGCACCTTGGGGCAAGCTAAGTAGTACAAGCCAGCAGCTTGCTCCCTGCCCGTATGAGGAATTAGGAGAAAGATTAAACTGAGACTAGAAATCCCTCACTTTTCTGAATCAGGCCTCTTGCATAAGGATACAAGTGTCATAAGATTGCAGTGGTGTTACCAGGTACAAATAGGTGAAAACTATCAAATCTCCTTGAGCTAAGGAGGAATTAAGTTATAGACCACTGAGGAATTATATGATAGATTCCCTTTTGATGCACTATAGTTATAATTAGCCTGGTTTCCTATGGAAACGAGGTTTTATAATCACACCATGTGTCTGTGTATTCATCAACTCTCTCCATCTCCTCTGATTAATAACTTTTTAATTCTTTGGCTACTTTCAACTAACTTTGAGAGAATACACCCACTGGGACAAGTTCACAGCAGCACACCTCCTGCATTAACAAGAGGAACCTACACAGCCCACCGGCCTTTTGAATACCACCCCAGTGACAGGAAAAGCTTCAGCTGAGCTGACATCTTATTAGAAGCCAGGAAAAAAACAAACATCCACAAACACAAATTAATTAGAGGCTTCATTACATCCCACAGGTTTCTGTGGAAGCTGCAGCTCTAGCTTTCTTAGCTCTTGCCCAATTAAAAACTCTACCATAATGTACTTTTTGTTTTCCAGTAGCTTCTGCTGGTACACCCTGCACCAGAACAGTGTGGACACACAGGCTGGCATGTGCCAAATGTCACCTGACTTACTACTGCAAATGCAACAGAGTTGACCTGCCCATGCAGAGAGGACCTTTGCTTGGAGCTTCTGCCCACCTAGAAATTTCCCCGAGAGGAATCGCCAAATTCTTCTTCACCCATCTGCTATCTGAGTAGCACAAAAACAAATGTGACTGAGGTATATACTTCCCAATATGAAGGTGTGTAACCTTTGAACAAAATACCACACCTTGTAAACTGGACTGAATGATTACAGTTGATTAGACCCAGATGTATCCTGCCTGATGCTTGAGCACTCCAGGCATCTAAAGCAAGATGGTGCTGCACCTGTCTTGGTGTGCTACAGAACACAAACGAGGGAACTGCCAGATAAATATATACTCAACCACTACCATCAGGCTTGCAGAAGTATGAGTGGGAGATAAAATACTGGAGCCAAACACAAATATTCTGATGGTAATTTAGCTGAGTTAATAACTAGGAGATGTCCATCACACAGTATAAAACATGGAAAAACAGGTACCAATTAAATTCCAGGGGTGTACACTCAGTTTTAAGTGTGCCTCCTACCACACAGCAAATACAGTAAGTACAGTGTAGCTTACCTCTCGTTTGTGGAACTGTATGTACCCTTAATTTTACAGGGAGAGAAAGTGGGGTAAAGTGTGGTGAAATGGGACTGGAAGCAGCTGACACACTGCAAGTTTTATTACAGTTTATCTGAGTAATTTACGTGCCCACACCCTCACACAGCCATGTTGTACTTCTCCTGTCATAGCATGATTTGAAAATCTAATGCATAAGAAGCAACAACCCTGTAAGTTCAAGGGCTTCCTGTCCAACAAAAGGCAGAAGAAACGCTCACTAAGCCATTCTGGAGACTCACCGAAACATAGATAAGCATTCTCTTGTGGCTTGCAAAATAAACTATAGTACAAGCATTCCCAAAGTTGTATCTCTGCGTCACTGGTGTTTCACCGGGGCTGAATCCAGCCCAGTGGCTTTGTATAACAAGTACCACTATTTTCATGGCCAAAACACTTGGCAACCCTATGCTGTTTGGTGGTACAAGGTAACTAATCCTTAATCCATTAAGAAAGTCAACACAGCAAGTTAGAATATGTATCATTACAATTTTGAAAGTTGATTTTAACAGCAAGGATGCTCCAAATAATATCCAATATACATTTTAATTATATATTTACTACCACAAAGGATAAATGAGAAATAAGAAGGAAGAGACGGAAACACATATCTGCATTCTGGGGTGGGGAAGCTAATGACAGAACCATTAGTACCAAAGTAAACTATGCTGACAAAGCTAGAGAATTAAATCCTCGGTCGACACACAGAAACAACTTGATACTATAAGCTTCCCGATTCTACTGTCAGCACATCTCTGCTGAGCCACTGTGAAAAATAAATCTAAAAACAGATGGATGAGTTTTGCCATTTCATTTAAATCAAACCGTTTCAAGAGAGGCTTTCTGACTTTGACAAAAGTGTGACTAAGATGATCCCAAACAAAAGAAAATTTTTAAAAGTAGTACTTTGATTTCTTTTGACTTTGCCATTTCAAGAAATGTCAGTGACTGCTTTAGCTGAATCCAAAACTATTTGGTGTCAAGTGTGTAACATAAGTATCACTTCAAACATTACTGAATCTAATAGAAAGAAAATCTTCAGTTAAAAAAGCAGGCTCGAGTTTCTAAGTGGCAAGATTATGTCTTGTGCAAACTTTACAAAGACCAACCACTTAAAAGCAAGAAAACAAATACTTAAGGACATCATTACTCTCAAGCAGGCAGCAAAATACATGCATTATTCTTATCAAGGATAAAGAATTCCCATAGCAATAAATTAGCTCAACAACACAAGTCCTGCATTTAGACAGATGATTCATCAGAAAGCCAGTCCACGGAAAAAACAAGCCCATCTAGATAGGCAAAGATGAAGTCGGAGAAGGACTTCAGTTGTCAGGTTAGTTTTTCTCCCCTTCCCTTTAAATAATGTCTTTTTAAAAAAA